ATTTTACCAATACTACAAGCACATGTAAATAAAAGATATTTGCACTGATAAAATTATTTAAAAAAAAAATGGTGATTTTGTTAATGTTGGTGCGAAATTTTAAAACAAATATTTTATTTTTTTTTCTTTTATAAAATTACACCGTTTTTATAACTATCAATTTAATTTTACTTGTTATAATGATTTTTCTATAATAAGAGAGCTATCTATTATCAAATTAATTAAAAAATGGTGACAAAATACGTTTTTTTAAAACATAAAAATAAAAAATTTAAAATATATTTTTTTTTTATTTATTAAGAGAACACTCCACCAACAATCTTTTTTTTATTTTATAATTTACAAAAATATTTTAAAATCATAATTATACTATCATTGAGTTGATTAACTTGTTTTTATTTTATGTTTTTTATTATTTTTATTATTGTTTGTTTAAAATATATTAATTGCTTTTAAAAAAACGAATTTAAAAAATTTTAATGGGTGTGGGGGGATTGGGGGGAAAAATTATTTTTTAAAAACTTTTATATTTTTCTTATATCTATAGATAAAAAAACATTTTAAAAATAAAAGTGGTGCACAAGTTATAAAATGATCATATAAGAGTGATTTTTAAAATAGAAAGTAGATTATATTGTCATATAATTTATAATAAAATTTGCCATATTTGTGTTTGTGTGTTTAAATTTTTTTATTAGCAAGTAAACAACAAGTTGTTAATTAATATATATGAAAGTTCCTTTATTGGCCAATTTTTTATATTAAATCATAAAATTTATGTAAATATTTATTTGGGTTCCTCATTTATTTGTTTCTAAATGTTTAAAAAAAAAAGTATAAATAATTTAAAAATTTTTTTTAAAAAAGATATATTTAATTAATTTAAATAAATAATAATATAGTTTTAATTTCTAAAAAAAAAAGCCAATATTTTAAAAAAAAAGTTTTTAATTTCATAAAAAAAAAAAAAAAAAGTTTTATAATTTCTATAAAAGCCAAGTCAAGATCTTCGATTTCTCTTTTTTAATTTTCCCTATTTTTAATTTCATATTTTTAATTTTTAATTTTTAAAATCTACTAAAAAAAATGTTATTCAGTAAGTATTAAAAAGAACATGATATAGTTTTTAAAATTTAAAAATTATTAAATTTGGATATTTTCCATAGTTTTAATTTTAATGATCATCTGAGTTTTTTTTATTTTTTCAATTTTACTCTTTTTTTTTTTTTTTTTATATTTTTCAAAAAAAAAAAAAGAGCGTATTAAATTAAAAAATAATAATTATTTTAATATATAATTTTTAGTTTAATCCTCTTTTAAATTTAAATCTATAGCAATAAAATTAAATTTAAATTTGAATTCAAATTTTCTAATAATTTTTTTTTTTTTTACTTAATTATATAATTATCTTTTTCTTTCTTTTTTTCTTTTTCTTTTTTCTTTTCTCCTTCTCTTTTAATAGATTCATTAGCTAAAATTTCAACAGTCTCATCAAACTCATCAAGAAATAATGATAAAATGATTAATATTAGTAATGATAAAGAATTATATGGAATGAATGGTGTTTCTAAAATTACTCAAAAAACAGTCTATTTCTTTAGACCATAAGTGATTGCTAATAGATATTTTTATATCAAAAAACTGTATACATCTATTGGAATCAAATAATACCAATATTTTTTTTCTTCATTATATATTTATTTTCATCTACTTTTATATATCTTTTGACTATCTCTTCTCATATACCTCGCATTTAATCTATATATTTAATTTTCAAATCATTCATTCATTTTAAAAATAATTCTCAAACTCTTCTTTTTAACTAAATTTATCCCTGTGAGAAATAATTAAAAAAAACTTTTAAATTTTAAAAAATACATTAATATATAAAATAAAACATGATAAAATTGAATCTTTCAATTTCGATTATTTAACATTATAAAATAAGTTATTAAAAATGAACTATTTACTTTCTTTTTAAAAACTAATATTTGATTATTATTTATCATTTAAAAAAAAAAAAAACTATTTCAAATCAAAACTTAAAAACCCAGTACCAATATCAAAAAGAGTCCCAATTTCAAATTTCCACCCTGTACTTATAAAAGAATTATCAGAAAAAACCCAATATCTTTAAATAAAAATGTTATTTTTTAAAACTAATAAAATCACTATGTAAAAACTTTATTTCTTTTATTTTTTTTTAGAATGTGCCTGTTTCTTTTTGGACCTACTTGGTGGATATTGGACATGTTGAGGAACTATACCTCCAAAAGCAATGTGTACATTTTTAAATAGGTGGGACAATTCTGTATCATTTTCCACTGACCAATTTATTAGTTGTGGTGTAATTCGAGTTTTATGATGTAGAAATGCCCAATTTAATGATATTTCTAAAACCTCTAAAGTTAGATACTGTAAAACAGCTGTAAAAAAAACACTTGCATTCGAATAGATCCTTTTAAAACCCTTTTTAAATAAATAAATAATTAATTTTAATAATAATTATAAAAATGTATTAAATAATAAACATACATAAAAACCATTCCGCAATAATCTTGTGACTCTGCCAACTGGGAATGTTATTCCTGCCCTAATTGATTTTGAAAATCTAACTCTATTACTATCATTTACCTTTTTCTTTGTAACTTTTTTACTGGATATTTTAGGTTCTTTTATTTCTATAATAATTTCTTTTTTTTTTGATCTTGATTTATTTCCTGTTGATAACATTTTATAGCAATATATACAATTTATAGAGTTAAATATAACTATTATATAAAATCAAAAATTTAAAATCAAAAAAAATTTAAATAAAAAAATTAAAATGTTTGTAATTATTTTAAACATAAATATAGGATGCACCAATTTTAGGATAAATGAAATCTAAACTAAAAAGATAATTAATTTTAAAAATATTATATATAAAAAAAATTTTATAATTGAAATTTATTTCTATTTTTTTTTTTCCTTTTTTTTACCAAAAATATTATTATTAATTAATTACCAACAACAACACTTCTAGTTTCAACAGGTAAACCAGGTAAAACTGAAATTTTTAAAGAATTTTTCTCTGATTTTGTTGAATAATTTAAAGGTTGTTGGGGGTTCTTTTCTTGAATATGTTCGACCTTAACAAATTTTAATTCTGATGGACCCTTTTGAGAACGATAATGAATTGAATCATTAAACTCTATGACTAATTGTTTGTTTAATTGTTTTTGATAAAGATTTGATAATAAAGTGATGAAAACAGTTTTTCTGATAGTTTCACAAACATAATCATGTTCGTTGTTTACATGGATAACAAAAAAGTCATCACAAAGTTTACTGAATGAGATTTTATCGATTGAGCTAAATGGGATTTTACGTTTGATAGTGAACCAAGATCCATCTTTCTTTGGTTTATGTGGATGAATTGGGTAAACATTTTCATTTGTAATTAATAATGCTCTCTTTTGAATCTTGTGATGACGACTAACCTTGGATACATTAACAGAGAGTTGAAGTTCGCTATTTTGACCTTCTTGTTGTTTTAATGAATTAACAGTGTATTGATCTTTAGCTAATGAAAGGAAATCACCAATAAATGCAATACTTGATAACTGAATTGACTTTCTGTTACGTTCTTTGTTATTAATGAAAATATTTTGAGATTGATTCTTGAGTTTTACGCATTCACGACGTAATAACCAACCACGATAAGCTCTTTGAATTTTTCTTGCAGCCAATGTTTGTAAATACCATTTTCTTTGCTTGTACATCTTCCAAGTGGCACCTATTAATGTAGCTAATTCATTGAGACGTGCAGTTCTCTTTTCTTCTAATAAAAACAATGGTTGTGGATTACGAATAAAGATTTTAGTTTTACCAAATTGAAATTCTTCTTTTGGTATGTTTAATTCGTTTAATAACAACTCGACACCTTTTTGAGCATCACCTGACCATTTTGGCCATGTTGATTTAGCGACCATATAATAACGACGCATAAATTTAGTGAATGTTTGACGATAACAATAACCAGCACGTCTAACTAAAAGATTTTCATAGAGACCTAAATAACGAACTTGTTCGGAACATTTTTCTTGATCCCATTCTAATGCTCTTTTATTTTCATTTGGTTTAATACAACGAACGTAATGTGGATTACAAGAGTAGAGCGATTTTAAAAGAGATGAAACTTGGTTTTTGAATTGGAAACCAGCAGTGATAGGTCTTTTCTTATCAGTTGGAATATAGGATTTGGCTGAAGTATTTGCAAAACCATTCTTTTTAAATTTATCTAAATTCTTTTTCTCTTGTTCTGCATCGGTTTCTATTGGAGCAACATATTTGAAAATTTCAGAGATTAAACTCATTGATGAGGAGGTGGCCAATATAACTAAATCGTTGAAAAGAGTATCTCTATTTTTGTCTAAAAATCCATCGATATTATAAAAGACTTTGCCAGCATAATGATTAATAATAAATTGAGAGTTCTTTTGTCTTTCAACTTTAGAGTAATGGCTATTATTTGAGAAATGCTTATTTAACTTGTCAATCATTGTTTGATCATTACCTTCTGGGAAAAGGCACTCTTCATCTAATAATGCCAAAATACCGATTGGTTTCTTTTCAATAAGTTCTACACAAGGCTTATTATTAATATATTCAACTGGAATCCATTTGATGCCCTCTTGTACATATTCTTCTTGTTCGGTTTTTAATGTAAGATCAATGAAAATTTGTTGGAGTGTTTCATTGACATAGTTGATGCAAAATTGCTCGAAAGAATTGTTTTCAAAGATTTCAAAACCATAGATATCTAAAACACCAATAACTTTTCCGATGGTTTTAACTTCGATGGATGTATTGATCTTTCTGACAATGAAATCAAAAAGTTTACTGTAAATAGCTTTGGCAAAAGCATCTCTGGCATAAAGTGCTTGTTCTACATTTTGTGGCACTTGATAGTTTGAAATACGAGCTCCTTGACCGGTACTAATCATACGAGATACTAAAGCACTTTCTAAAAGTGATGGCTCTACACCCAATAAATTGGAAATTGATGCGGTTAATTTTTTGTCTGAAACAACAGAGCCAGTACCTTGAGCATTAAAGGTAACATTACCAAGTAAGAGGATAGCAGAGAGTGTACTAAAAATTTCTCTTTGAGTTTTTTCATCGATACCAACTACTTTCATGGCATTCTTTGTTTGTTTAAAGGAGAGTTCATCATCGATTCCATCGGCACTGTAGCAACGACCTTTATTTAAATAACTGTATTGCTCTGGTGGTAAAAGACAAAAAGATTGTTTTTCTTCGGCACTAGAACCTTTTAAAAGTTGATAAAAGATGTGGAAATTACGTTCACCCATAGTTTGATTAATGACACGACTCTTCTCTAAAAGATAATTTGTAATTTTACCACCTTCTGGATCACCGGCTAAATTGAATTGAATTTCCATATATTTACCAAAACGACTTGAATTATTATTACGGAGTGTCTTTGCATTACCAAATGCTTCTAATAATGGATTACTCTCTAAAATAGTCTTTTTAACACGTTCGACTTCATCACTACTACCTGTGATACTGGCGATATATTGCATTATATATTTACTTGCTTCAGTTTTACCTGCACCAGATTCACCTGAAATGATAATACATTGATTTTCTCCTTCTGATTTTAATGCTCTGTATGCTTTATCTGCTACCTTAAAAATATGTGGTGGGATTTCAAATTCATGTTTACCTTTATATAAATTAATGTTATCTTGTCCATAAATTCCTAATTGTTTATATGGATTCATTGAAATTAATACTGGTCCAATTGAGGTCTTTAAAAAATAATTAAAAAAAAAAAAAAAAAAAAAAAAAAACACTGTTAATATGAAATAATAATTATTTTTTTAGAATAAATAAATATAAATACATACATAAATTAAACCTTCTTTGTATCTATCTTTTAAATTTTCAAGTAATGCTTTTTCAGAAACTTCTGAAAGCATAATTAAATCATCTACACCAACATTTTTAGTTTGATCTCTTTTAAATGCCTATAAAAAAGTTTTAAAAATTAAAAAAAGTTAATATTTATTTTTTATTACTAAAAAAAAAAAAAGAAATTATTTTCTTTAAATTACCATTGTTGATTATATTTTTAAATATTTTTTTTTATTTGAAAAAAAAAATTTTATATGGTATTATACATAAATTAAATAAATAAAGAAAAAAATAAATAAATAAAAATAAATAAATAAAAATAAATAAATAAATAAATAAATAAATAGATAGGTAATGTATATAATCACAATAAAAAAAATCAGGTGTTTATTAAAAAAAAAACAAAAATAAAAAATTAAAAATAAAAAAAATTAAAAATAAAAAAATTAAAAAAAAATTGAAAATAAAAATTTTTTCAAATAATATTACCTTTCTATAAAAATTATTTTTTTTTCAAATAATAGTGGTATCAATCCATTATTCAAAAAATGGTATAATCTTTTTTTGTTTATTTTATTTTTTTTTTTTTTTTTTTTTTCCTAAAAATGGTTATTTATAATTTATAAAAATTTTGATCTTGGTGGTCTATTTAATTTAACAGTTGATGAATAATTTGGATTTTTAGAAACTAGATTCATTTTTTGACCCATTGCTGTGACACCATTACAGGTTAAATCCGACGAAAGATAGTCTTCAGAGTTTAATGTGAAATAAACCAATTCGTAATTACTTCCATCAACAACAAACCAGCATGGATATGAGGGTGTTTGGACAACTTGAATTCTAAGGATTTCTGGGTAGTCTTCACTGAAGGCGCTCATGTTATATTTAACATTGTCCCCAAAACTGGCCAATAACGAACCTGTACTATTATCAACAATGAATACTGAGCCTTCACTATTTTCATAGAAGCCAACAAAAGCATGATCTGGTATTTTTTGTGGTGGTTTAGAATGTTTGATTGAGCTGAATGATGGAATAGTTTCTTCATAGCTTTGAGGTTTACTATTTGCTTCTCTTAAAACAGCTTCATATGCTGGTACCAACACTTGAGTAGCAGCTCTAGTGAATACATCTTCAGTTTCAAATGCCAACAATGATGAAAAGAAAAGACCAAGTTTCAATGGCTTAATTAAAGACATTTGAGTACGATATCCATCCAATTGACCGGCTTTATTCTTTGTCCAAATTTGATTTTCACTATCATAAAACATTTCAAATGGTGTACCGTAAGCATTAACACCATCATTTACTAATTGGACTGCTGATAATGCTTCATTATGAGTTGATGGATCTAAAATATGATCATCAAATTCATTGTTTAACCAAAATGCCATATATTTCGACATATCACGTGCAGTACTATAAATACCACCCTAATTAAAAGAATAAATAAACTAATAGTTAATATAACTGGTAATAAAATTTTAATATTTATATATTAAATATTTACCATTGGTGTACCCCAACCAAGACCTTCAACTGGTGCAATTGAATAACTACCATTTGGCCATAAATCAACTCCCTGTGCTAAAATATCCTTGACGTCATCGTAATAGCAAGATGAGTTATGCATTCCTAGAGGATAGAATATCTTTTCGTGTACATACTTTTCGTATTGAGTGTTTGCTGCTTTTTCAAGAGTTCTACCAAGTAAGGCCAAACCCAAATTGGAATAGTGGATTGTTTTATAGGTTGGTAAAATAACAAACATTTTTGATAACCTTTCTATGATTACTTGTTCGGAACACTTTGTTAAATCTGGTAATTCATCATAATTGCATGGTACTTCTCTTCCTAACCCTGAACTATGTGATGCAAGTTCTCTAAGAGTTATCTCTTTTTTGGTATTATAAAGATTGCCAATAGTAAACTCTGGGAAATGCTTTGATACTGGATCATCTAACGAAACAATTCCTTTGTCTCTTAATTGAAACATCATTAAATCGGTAAATGTTTTACTAATACTTGCAATTCTAACTCTATATTTTATATTATCATTAATATCACTTATAATGTATATTTTTCATTTGTGAATAGTTTTAAAACCTACGCATTATCTAAAGTTAGAGGTGGAGATTTTGGGTCCAATGGATTCACATTGCCGTATGTCTTGCTCCATACAATTTGATCTCTATATACAATGGAGGCAATAAAGCTTTTGACACCGTTGGCCTTCATACCAGCTTGGATAATTGAATCTACCTCAGCATATGCTTTTTGTAATGTTGGGTTATTTTGATCAATTTCGATTGGCTCTGGATAATCTGGACATGATATTACTAATGTAGTACATATATAAAACAAAAATAATATTAAAATAAATTGTATTTTCATTATTTGTTGTTATTTATTTGTTGAAAAATTATTATTATTATTTAATATTAATTTTTTAAGTTTTTTTATAATATTACAAATCTGATAATAAAAAAATTTTTAAATAAAATAAAATAAATAAAATTAAATAAATAAAGTTATTTTTTAACCTTTTTTCCAAACACCCCACCAATAACCAATTAAAAAATATAACTGTTATTTTTTCACCCACAACACACAACACACTAATTTTTATTTTTATATACCTACCCATCAGAAAGATATATTCTACTATTGCTCTACTACCATTATTGTAATTTATTTTGATAATTATCAAAAATAAGATGATTGTTTGATTAATTGTGGGCATGAATAAAAAAAATAATTTTTTTTTTTTTTTAATTTAAAAAATTTCCCCCATATAATAATATAAAAATTTTTCCATTCTTATCATTTCCTCATATAAATAAAAAAACTCCATCTCCCATCACAGCAACAATTTCTTCATCTGTCCTAAAAAAAAAAAAAAAAAAAGGTAAAAAGTTCCACCCATGCCAATTTTAATAAATACCAAATTCAAAAAAATAAAAAAAATAAATATTTATAAATTTTTTTAAAATAATTTATTTTATTTATTCTATTTATTATATTAATTTTATTTAATTTATTTAATTTCCTAAAATTATGATTTAATAATAATATTGTTCCTATTCGTTAAACTTGAAACCTAATTTCTTTGAGAACCATATTTAAAATATATTTGATATGATAACCATTGTGACAGTTTTGCTTGATCAATAGTTAAGAAAACTTCAGTTTTCACTTCTATTCAAACGATTTGAGTTCAATTATAGTTGCTTGGCCAGGGCAAATATAATGATATTTATCAAATGGTGAATAGGATTGAATAACTTCGACTTTATTGTTTTCATCTTTATATGTATAACTGAATCTTTTTTATAATTTGATTATTTGATTATTTGTTGTGGTTGGTTATTATTGGTTCAATATTATTATTATATTTAAAATTATGATTCTATAACACGAAGGTGGAGCTGATTGTAGTTTATTGTTCTTATAATTTAATTTTTGACTAATATGTGTCTATATGTCCTCCATGATATTTATGATTTTTTTTAGATACTAATGATATTTACTAACTTAACTTGATTGTTTCAATTTTCCTAATGCAACTAATTATTCTAATATTTTAAATACTTCTAACTTGAACATCATTATTTGTAAATTAACAACTATTTTTTTAAAATGCTAAACCTTTTTTTAAAACTTCCAATTTTAAATTTGTAATAAAATTTTTTTTATAAAATTGGTGAATAAAGTAATTATCTAATTATCTAATTATCTAGTTTTGTATTATTATTATTTTTTTTGCTCTATCTACCTTGGTTTTTTTGAGATTATTGTATGTTGTAAAATAAATATTAATTGTAATGAGTTATTTTTATGCCCACGATGATTATATTATAAAACAAAGCTTTATGAAGTGTGTAATCCATTCCCCACTATTTTCATCAAATATTTCTATAGATGGTTCTCAAAACATTACTGTATTGTGGTTTCGGGATATTGAATGATCTTGATGTACCCATTGAATGACATGATTTTGATTTATTAATTTGGTGATAAACGGATGATTGTTTACTATAAAATTTTTGCGATGGGGTAAATGATTGTTGTTTGCCTGTGAAAATGTAATTTCCCTCTGTTTTAAAGTGTTGTTGATATTTTAATGGTGCACCTGTACTACTATAGCCTGATCCTTGTTGTTGATGTTTTTTTACATAAAATGGATCATAAAATGAATATAAAGCATTAATATCTATTATGCATTTGTTGTGGTTGGCTATAATAATAACGTGATTGTTGAACTGGTTGGGAATTATATGATTGTGGTACAGGTGAATACATATAACCGTGTTGTGGTTGGTTATAGTAGTATTGTGATTGTTGAACTGGTTGGGAATTGAATGATTGTGGTACAGGTGAATACATATAACCGTGTTGTGGTTGGTTATAATAGTATTGTGATTGTTGAACTGGTTGAGAATTAAATGATTGTGGTGCAGGCGAAAACATATAATTTTGTTGTGGTTGATTATAAAAATGTTGTGATTTTTGAATTGGTGGGGAATTGAATGATTGTGGTGGAGGTGAATTCATAAAACTTTGTTGTGGTTGGTTCTTATAATATTGGGAATGTTGAACTGGTGGGCTATTTTGGGCTACATATGGATAGGAAGATTCTTGACGTAGTCTTTGTTCAAGATAGGATGTCAAAGAAACAGCATTTTGTGGTGATGGGGTATTTTGTGAATAGGTGCCTTTGCTATTATGATTCTTGGTGTTTTTTTTGTTTTTTTTACAATATAATTTTAAAGGTGAAAAACATTTAAGATAAACAGCAAATACTAAAGTTATTAAAAATAATATAACAATTTGAATCATTTTTTAAAACTAAAGTTATTGTGAAAGTGGTAGAAAAATGATTTGAAGATTATTATTATTATGCAAAAAAGTGGGAAAAATTATAATAATGTGAAAGTAAAAAATAAATTGAAATAAATTGAAAAAAAATAAAAAGGTGTGTGTAAAAATAAAAAGGTGTGTGAAATATTGAACAAGACTGAACGGAATAGACTAGACTTGCTTGGGCTGGGGTGGGTTTGGCGGAACGCAAAAGACTGGAATAAAATCTTTGAAAAATTTAAGTTTGAATTTGAATTTGTTAACTTTAATTTTTTTAATAATTTTATTTTTTATATTTATAATTGTTTTATATGATATGGCAGAAAAAAAAATTATTTGTAAATTTATAATTTAAAATTTATAATTTATAATCAATAATAAAAAAAAAAATTAAAAAAAATTAAAATTTTTAAAGAAAAATTTTTTTTTTAAAATTGAGAAGTGTTTAGAATTGGGGTTAAGTTTTTTATATTTAATAAAATTATTTTTTTAATTTGAATATATATTATTATTATTGAATATCATTTTAAAATTGAGAATTTTGATTTACAATATTTTTTGATTTGAAAATTTCATTAAATTTGCTTTAAAATGATACCCAAAACACCTGATTAACTTTTTCATTGTAAAAAAAAAGAAAATACAAAAAAGAAAAAAATTAAAATTAATTAGATTATTAACAGAGGTAAATAAATGATTAAATATAGTGAAAAAATGTTAAATATTTTATAATTTAAATATTTATTATTTATTAGATTTAAAAAAAATTATTAAAAAATAAATTATTAAAAAATATGTTAAGTTATCTAAAAAAAGAATATTCACTCATTATTTAATTGATGATTGTTAAAAATTATACATTATATACTATTTATGCAATGGAAATTGTGAAAATTTTAAATTAGAAATTTTTAAACCATTAATAAAAAAAAAAAGGGAAATTTTTTAATAAATTTATTATAATTTTATTTATTTATTTTATTTTAGCTTTTTAATAATGTAAAATTCTTTAATATTTTTATTTGTTTTTAGTGAGAATCTACCATATAATTAGATACTATATCCATATTGAGTTTTCTATTATCATCATTTATTTATTTTATTTAAGATGAAGGTTGGTTAGGTGAAAAAATTAGAAATGGTTGAAATTCTTTTTCCAATTAATTGTTTTTAGGAATTGTAAAACCATATTAACCTTTAACATAAAAATAAACTACATAATATAAGACAATTTCTTACATATTTATGATAATAAAAATAATTACAATTATTTCTAATTATAAATTTAAATTCAAATAAATTAAAAAAAAAAATTTTATATAAATATTATTTTTTTTTTAATTTATTTGCCATTTTTTTTTTTTAATAAATAAATAAATCAATTTTAAATTATATATTTATATATTTATTATTTTGTTTTGTTTTTTAAATAGAATTTATGAAAGGCGATAGAATGCCTACAATACTTTCACCCTTTGCCAATGCTATGGGTGAAGAGTGTACAGTTCCCTGGTTTGACTTTTTATTGAATCCGATCAAGTTAAAAGAACATTTATAAGATTAAGAAAATGGAAAAATCGAATCATCCCAAAGTATCTTCATTAATAAAAACACTTTTGAAACAATTCGAAAAATACTACCAAAAGTAATTGGGATTGATATTGTTGTTGTAATTTTAATAATGAAATAAACCAACAAACCCAACAACAACAACAACAACAACAACAATATACACCCCACCCACACCCACACCCACAATATACTCCAACATCCCACAATAATTTGAT